CATCTTGGATGAAGGATGATGTGCGACGCACAAGGATAATTTCATCCAAATAGTGACACCGTGTTTAGGACGTTTTCAATACTGTAACTCTATTATTACAAATAAAATTTATTATGAATTATGTCAGGTAATGTCACATAAAGTTGCATATATAACCACATTCTGGCGCAAATTTTTTTTTCTTTGCAGCTACTTCGTGGTTAAAAGTGAAATAATTAAAATTTTATTGATAGCAGCAATAATATTTTGATGACAAACTACATAGGTCAAAGGTCAACACTAGTTATGACATGCATCTTCACGACATAACTGCCATGTCAAATGACATAACGATGTAACCCTCAGCAGAGCATAAGTCTATACCTATAAGAATTATGTGTCAATTAATAACTGATAAATACTGATATAAACTATTTAGAAAAAAAAATCAATTATTTTAATAGTGTGCGATTCTAGATTGTTACCTTTTCCTTGTATTATCTTTTATTCTTTTCCGTCTTTTCTAATATTTGTACTCATAATAAAAATAGTAACAAAAAAATATAATATTTGATTCTTATTCCACTCCGTTAAACATATTAATTAAACTGAATAATATGCTAACTTACTTACTGTAAGATTGTTTTTATATTTTATACTGAATTTTTTTGATTAGGAATTGTTCTGCATGATCTTTTTAGAAAATCTTTAATCTGACTCTCTATGCTTTTAAGGAGGAATTGCTTCAACTATGTTCATTATTTTCCATAATTTCTTGAAACCCATCCAATGAATCATTAGTGTCATATCGATTGCTGGGATCACGCTGACCTGTCATAAAAAATTGAGCCAACGCTTGGTGTTATCACAGATAAATTGATTTATTGTGATCATATCTGATATTTCATATTTATCTCTGATCCATAACCAGATCAAATATCATCTTGTTTATTTATACTTAGAATATAGATATTTAAAAACAAAAGAAAATAAATATAGAAAATGTTAATGAATAAGTAAATAATACAAATTTAAATATTACAATTTTATGACCCAAAATTTAAAGAAAAGTTATACATAATGAATCTCAATCAAATATTAACATATTTTATTCCTCTCCACGTATGTACATAATGTACCTCAATATTAATAAATTGAATAATAATAAATTTTATCAATGTATTATTTCTTGAAAGATAAGAACTTCTTTTTGTCAACCTATTTTTCACTATTCGACATCAATTGAATGTGATATTGATTTGTCTGAAGTGAAATTTCTTTCAGTATCTGATTTCTGAAAATCTTCTCGATTCTGTGTATTTTCATATTCTAAAGTTCCATGTCGACAATTATTTATTGCTTGAAATAATCTGCCAATAAAATTTGTTAACAGGTTAAGACATGAAGAGGCAAGTGCAAGAATAGGAATTATGTCGTCATATGTAACCACACTAAAATGGTATACTAACTAAAAGTTTTGAAAATTTTATAATTAGAAAACGAAATAACAATTTTTTTTTTTACATAATAAAAAGGAATTTGAAGGACCTGAATGATCACTTGCGGTATATCTTCAATAAAAATGGTTATACAAGAAGCCCAAAAGATTCTATTTTTTCCTTTAGTTGAAATTGGGGCTTGGAAAAATTTAAATCCAGCCAAATTTGAATAGAGGATCCTTAATGTTTCAATATCAGCACTTGATAAAATTGTAAATATTGACGCCGCCTTTTCATGTTGAGTGAACCAATTCAAGAAATTCTTGGATTTGTTTTCATCACTGATAATATAAAATGCCCAAATAGCGTTGATACCAATTGGAATAGTCACGAATAAGACACTATTTATATATTAATATAAGTTTTTAATAACATAAATATATAAATATAAAGATATGAATATATATTTTATTGATAAATTTTACCTTGGAATATATAGTTCTTTAATCACTTTACCATTCTTGCTGACAAAAAGGACATCCATTACAAAATCAAAGATAATTAATCCAAGTTGTAAAACAGCAATGTTACGGCCCTTTAAAAGAATTTAAATAATGTAAATACATATATACGAATCTCCATTTTCTATAATATTAAAAATACTAAACAAATAAGATATCCTTTTTTACCTTACTTTCCATTTTTTGTGCTATTAAAAAAAGAACCACTAGAATTGCAAGTATTAATATAACACCCAAAAATTTCCACTTGTATTTATCCCATAAGTTTTCTAATGAAAAAGAACCATTTTAAAGAATGATTAGTATAGTAAAGATAGCATGTCGGACAAGTTAAAAAAATTCAATATTTACTCACGATTAGGTTTAAATCCATAATCTCCATCTAAATACTTTGTGGTAGGTTTCAAACCAATGGAAGTCATGTTTTTATATACAATCATATCATTTAAATCGTCTACAATAGATGCTACACTTCTTTCTTCACTGGATGATTCAATATTAAGTGAAATCAACGTTTGGTGACTAACAGTATCAACTTGAGATTTCCCATTTGAACTTAGTCGCTTAATGTTGTTGATAGGAATAATTTCAGATAATTCAAGACGTAGATCCGTAAAGAATTTATTTTTTCCAGTTGGATTAAGATTTTCGTAGTATTCAGTACCTTCTTTAGTTAAACGTAGCACTCCATATACTTTGTCTATTTTAGAAATTTCCAATCAATTTTGAGTGATTTTATATTAAATACACATAAAGACAATTATGCTGAAATTTACCTGCAAAAGTTTCTTTATTTGAACCTAAAAATCGTTAGGATATAAGGAAAAGATATTTAGTATATAAGTTAATAACATATAATAAAATAATTATCATTTACATACTTGTATTGAATTTCCAAATATTATATATGCCCTTTAAAGATTCCCTGTATGCTTTGCTTCTTACAAAATCATTGTCAACTTTAACATAAAATTGGCTATTAGGATTACTAAAAGTACTTTTGATAACTTTTACAGTTACAGTTAATCCATTATCAGAAATGGAACAAAAGCTATTGACACCATTAACAAATTGTCGAATAATGTTATTGCCATTTTTATCAATTTGATAGATCGAAATATTCCCGTAAGAACGTTCTACTGGTTCATAATATGTGATTGTAATATTACTCATATCCGTTGAAGTTGGAATATTAGCATTTATTGAGGGATTTGAAGATTTTACTTGAAAATTTGAATAATCATTATCTTTATCCGTGAATTTAGGAATATCAGTGGTATTAAAACTCCACGCATTAAGATCTTCTAGTTGTGATATTAACATTGTATTATTAGGCAGAATTATCAACACATTGAAAACTGATGGTTCTGGAAAATCCCATTCCATAAAATTATTTTCGATTTCGTTAAAATAATATCCATAAACATTGGTACGATTGTCCTCATTAAGAAAACGACAATAGTATACATAACCACCATAAGGAATACTTTCTATTGTCCATCCTGTAGTGACATTTTTTGGTAATTCGGGTACGGTTATGTTTAATGGGACGATTTCCGTAATAGAGCCAGATGATAAGAAATTAAGTTTTACATAATAATCAACATTGTTCTGTCTGATGGTGAGTATACAAACTTGTCCAATCCCAGTACTTGAAATACCAGCAGCTATTCTAGATATTGTAATATTATCTAAGGGTAATTGGTAAAGCATTTTTGGTGCACTAAACTGCTTATCATCATATCTTTTTGTTAAAGCATATACCGCGGCACGAATTTCCAAAGGATTGTTGTTACCAAAATTAGAGGAGTCGGTGTAATTTCCCATAATTATGCTATAACCCCCGTCAACATTAGGCACGACATAAGCTTCTGTATTTTGAGAAAATGTAATATTTCCTTCAAATAACTTTATTAATTTAAATGTATCGTCTCTAAAAAATAAAAAAAAATAAAAATTAAAATTAAAATTGTCAAATTGTAAAATCTTATAATATCAAAACGTATATCATAGTATAAGAAACTCACATCGTATATTGTTGCCACTCGACATAAGTTTCATTCCAAGTTATCCTTATAAAACCCTTTTTTGGATCAACGTTAGTTACTATTACTGATGGGTTCCATGTACCATTTTCGATGGAAGTCTTCGGGAAATTTACTTTACTTCATAGTTTTTGATATATTTTTGAATAAAAGTAATAATAATTGTCATTGTTATTAAAGTAAATATGATGTATATGATATGATCATGATAGTTCTATTGAAAATAATTACTCATATAAAGTGCCATTCCAATTGATAATACGTCCCCCTTCTTCATAAGTATTAATATCGTAAGCATTAAAGTATGTAATAAGTAAGTAGCCCTTTTGAAGCGCATATATATTTACACGGTCCAGGGTATCACCATTAGGACTTGTAGTAATGTGCCAGTTAAATTCTGGAATTTCTAGGTCTTTGTCTATTTCACTGACTGTTCCATTCGAATGAATAATGCGTAAAGATAGCACCGGTCTTGTCCACGCTTCTCCAATAACCTGCGTTTTATTAGGATCCAAATTAATAATTCGAATAACCACTGTTCCATCTAAATATTTCACGTAATTCCATATCCATGGCTCTGTTTCGAATGGATTCGTTTCATTATGTGTAAAAATTCCTAAACCTGATACCAAAGACGTCAGAAAAAAAATTGTTATCCACGTTATAAGCAAAACCATCAAATTTAAACTCGATCGTATCATTACGATGAAATAGAATAATGAAATAATAGCAATATAGAAGTTTAAAAACAACGAGTGACGGAATAGGAATCGAGAAAATAATATGTTACACTAAGTTGTTTTTTTTTAACCACACAATCTTTTTGATATATTTAAATTATCACCGATTTATTTCATATCTCATAGAATACTATCTCCATTGCCCGAATAAATTTCCTTTACATCATTTGTATCTTTAGATGTTTTAATGTTTGTACATTGTAACAAGAGACAATGCATTTTAATTCATTTAAAAAGGTTACATTACATCATCTGATATATCGTTGATCGCATTGCATTCATGAATTAAGTGTAAAATGATTTTGAGAATGACAAATAGCCTTCAGTATGGATTATTTCGTCATAGAAGAATATCAATAAATTAAGTTTGCATTTTTATTCATGAAATAAATAAATAAATAATGATAAATTAATAATAATAAATAATAATAAATAAATAATAATAAATAAATAATAATAAATAAATAATAATAAATAAATAATAATATATAAATAATAATATATAAATAATAATAAATAAATAATATATTAGTGTAAATTAAGGTTTTTCTTATGTGCCACAAAGGAATTTCTTCCACGGTCAGTTGGTTATTTCCTTGTGGAACTGGGGAAATTTGATCATCCTTTTTTAAAATGTCAAATTTTTTATACTGTTCAAGTACATCAGGAAATTTTAGTAGGCGAAATTTCCGGAGATTTTATGTTTTTTTCGATTTCGCGAGCGAAGTCATTAATTAGTATCTATCAATTTTTGCGGGAATTTCAAATTTATTATAACATCATAATGACCTAAAAAAGATTATTCGATCAAATATTTTCTCTAATAATTGTCCTGCATATATGCTTTACCCTTTTTCCTTTAATTATAATGAATTAATATCTGTAAGTCAAGTCACGCCAAAGGCTAACGTTTGGAATAAACTAAAAGTGTGTTAAAATAACTGATGTTTTCGAATTCATTTGTTAGCTTTATTGAGTTATATTTATTTGCTGTGAAGCTTGCTTATGGAAAATTTACTATAGCAAAATTTTCTAATTCTAATCCTCCTAACATTCAATTGACTTTAAACACATGAAAGTCTAAATCTATCTTCGGGTTCAATATTATAAATAATACAAATATAAATACTTGAATAAACTTTTTCATAATATTGTTTTTGATTTTATTTGATTATTATTATTATCATCACCTTTCGATGTTTCATTGTGGTGATTTAACAAGATGCGGTCCTGCTGAAATTCTTTCTGTCTTAATTCGTGTTTTACTTTTAAGTTTCTATATTTCCAATTAAATCAAATCAAGTCCCCAATTGAATAACATGACATATTCATGTGACTTTAGTTGTTCCTGTTGAGTAATGTCAATTAAAATAATGATGATGATAATGAATTATTACAATAGATCTTTCGCTCCTTTTAGGGAAAAAGAAATCATCGTTTTTTCTTTTTTGAAAATGAAATAAAAAAATAAATTCTTAGGATTTTTTTTTGAGTAAAAGTTTGTGAAAATTATGAGATACACTTTGCGGGTTTGAGCAATTTGTTCCTTTGACAATCACCTTTTTGTTTTTTGTTGAAGCCCTTTTTATAAAATTGTTACAAATGTGATTTTCGTGTTATTGATCGCATAAATAAAAAAAAAATATTTCGTAAATAAATACAAAGTGAATTGCGAAAATAAATAAATAAAAATGAATATAAAGAAGAGTTCCGAAATATCGATGCTTATGAACAATCTTGATATAAAATAAATCATTTGGATGACAAAATATGTTTTTTATGGAATTTTTTGGTGAAGTTATCAATTTGTTCCTTGATAATCACCATTCGTTTTTATAAAAACCCTTTTATAAAGGAAATGATTGGATTTTTAATAAAAAATAAAAATTATAATTTAAATAGAGATAGATTTAAAATATTTAAAATGGAATTTTCGCTTGCTTATAAAATTTTGCACTACAAATTAAAAAAATTTAAATTCTGTATTAATCTTTTAGAAAAGTTAGCAGAGGCACTATATATGTACATGTACAATCATCTTAGTATCATCTCCGCATGATACGTCTGGCATTTATTCTAAACAAAATTGATTTTCAAATTTCTGAAAGTAAACAATATTTTTATTTTTAATGATGATATTTATTTATGAAATTTAATTAATTTATCTATTATTACAATTATAGAAATGGAACAACAGTTTCTTAAAGTATTGCATATAATCCAAATAAATCGTGTGGTATTAACATTATGCCACTAATTGAAAATTTCTTTTCTCAATAAAAAATGAACAAATGAATTTCTCGTCATTCTATATATGCGATTAATTACTTAATCACCAAATGGCTATTGTGAAAATCATCCACACAATAATTCTTTATTCTGACCATAGTATTCTCCAAACATTTACTAATTTCGTTTTCTGCGATTTTTAACTAATTCAAATACCTTTTCATGATCGCATAAAACGTCTTTCATTATTTTTGCAATTAAATCTTTTCGGCAGCTTTCAAAAACCATTTAAATACTTCCTTTTTGTCTTTATCCATTGTAAAAATAACTGGCCTTATTTATTATTCATTGCATCGATATTTCGAGCATTCTTTTTCTTTTGTTCTTTGGCGTGACTAAAATTCATTGTAATTAATTATATTCAAGAAAAGGTTAATTTTGTGACTAAAAATGTGCTAATAAACCAATAAATGAATTCGATCATATTAGTTTTCTGAGTTTTATTTATTTATGTTAACTGCTTAAAGAGAATTTCCGTCCTGTCTAGAGCAAAATTTCCCATTTCAATTTAATGATTTCTAATAATTTAAATGGATTTTAACATATGAGTCAAAAAGTTTAAATCTTTCTTCGGGTGAGTTCTTATCCTTCTTTAACTGTCTAATAATATTAAAAATTCATATAAATAAAATAATTAATCAACTAAAACTTTAGTTTTTTAAGATTGTCATAAAATCACAATTACGTCCTAATTCTAAAATTTGTTTCCAAATTTCATCTTCGAAACAATTAATGTTCCATCGATTCTCTCCATGATTTAAAATCTATTATTTATTTTATTATTATATTATTATTACCTTTCCGTTTTATTTTTAGGTTTTCTATATCTTCCCCTAATTATTAATCATTAATTCATTCATTCAATATCACTAAGATAATCTGAAATATTTTTTAAAAGATATATTTTAAAAAAATATTTCACTTACAGTTTATCAAGTCCCATCAATTTATCAGCATATTCATAGAATTCTAGTTGTGGTTGTTTCTGTTGAATAATGATGATGGTGATGGTGATGGTAATAAATTATTATTATTTATAATATTTGTGTTATTGCTTGCATTACTTATATTATTTATATGTTCAAACAATTGAAATAAATGTAATGGAGATAATAAGAGGAAGAAGGGAGAATCTTTAATTTATCGATGTTAATTATTATAATTTTTTAAAAAATAATTTCTTTTTACGAGGTATGCGTTGAATTCTTTTAATTCATGTATGTATCATAAATTATATGATAATTAATAAATAAACTATGGATATGTTTATTGTAATTATTTCTCTAATAATATTTTGTAGAAATATTTTGAATTTGTTTCTATATAATGACTTAAGATTTAGTTTTATTTATAGACCAGAATTATAATACTTTGATACTACAAATTGAACATATAAGATTATATTAAATATTTTAATTTATATTTAATTGTTAAATTGTAAATTATAAATAAATGTATAAAATATTATCTTTTGTTTATTTTTTTTTCAATATAATAATAATATCAACTAACAATAATTTTGCATCATAATGTTCTGTATTACGTTATTTAGTCGATGCATTGGAGTATCATTTACTTCTGATGCTTTTTTCACTAAAAATAAATACTGAAATATTGTCAATGGAAATAACACTCTAGTTTCCTAATTATTCTATATAAAGTGTCCAAAAAAAAGTAGAGCGCCAATAATTACACTTAAGTATATTTCAAACACCAATGCTTCTCTACATCTTTACCTGCAATTGTACCTATTCCAAAAAAAAAATAATTTCCCCAGCAGTAACAGTCTTTCTACTACAAGCATCAGTGTCAATCTCACTTAAGCTTAAAATATAATTTTTTTTCTAATATGCTAATTGAATAGTCTTGAAGTTTGTTAAGTAATATATATAGTTACAATCAGATTTTAGTGCTTATTAATATTTTTTTAGTAAAATATTATCAATGTTGTAAATTAGAAAGTTAATAATATAATATATTTATTTATTTAGTTTCATGAAAGTATAGTTATTTATATAAAAAATAATAATAACAAAATAATATAATTGATGCAAGATTTATAACTTAAAAATAGACATTTGGTAAATTAATGGAATTTGAAAACTTAATATTATCACTGATATTTAATTCTTGTAAAGATAAAGAAGGTAAAGGTTTACTTGTAAGGGATGCTTCAGGGTGATTAGTTTCAGCTGGAGATAAATCTTCAACATCTTCATCTTGTATTTTTTGATCTGCATTTAAAAACATAAGTGACTGTTCTGTTTTATCATTATACAACAATTCATCAACCCAACGTTCTGTTATATGAGCGATCTTTTTAGCACTAAAGCGTTCAGATGGATCTTTGTTCCAACACTTCTTCATTAAATCTACATAACATTGAGGCGTGCCTTTATTAATTTTTGGTCGAAGTCCTTCATTAATTTCCAAAATTAATTCTATATTATGTTCTCTATTAGAAAATGGCACCTTTCCTGTTGATATCACCCACATAATAATTCCAACACTATATATATCAGAAGCTTGTGTATATGGTCTGTCATTCCATAACTCAGGTGCAATATATGGTAATACACCACACTTTTTTTTTTCCGATGAGGAGGATTCACGTGATAATCCTAAATCTCCTAATCTTATAAATTTATATTTCGAATCACTAAATGCTTCAG